TTTTGAAGATGACTTGATGATGACTATGACTTCTGATCAACAAGCCACCTTCGTTGCCAAAAGAAATCTGCTTGTACCTCTCATTCCTCCAGAAATGAAAATGCACACCGAAAGGAGTTTAGAACTGAGCCAACTACTGAGACTACCCCAAAGTACCGTGCCTCCAGTTCTCAACCACAGGACAAGGGAAAAGCTCCGACAACTGAAGAAGAGGATGATGATGATGGGGATGAGGACACTGAGGAAGAAGACCTTGCTTAGTTTCGTCTGGCTAGAAGAAGGCCTGGATCCTCCAAATTCACATTTTAGGCACCCCTAGGCACATGCACCTCATGGTAATTCATAATAGGCTCTTGGCATCTTTTGCGTTTCAAACTCTATATGTTTTGTATTAAAACTTCTACTTTCCCTTTCACTGCAGGTTTGTAAGAATATTTGGATATTTTGTGTGCTTTGATATTCCTATGGTTATTCCCTTTCCATTTGTTATTCCTATGGTTTTTGGATGAATGTTTGGCACTTAATGTCTGATATTGTTTGTTGGAGGATGATATTGATGTTAATATGGCCATGGTTGATTTTTCTGATGACAAAAAGGGGGAGAAATGAATTGGATATGAGGTCTCTATGTGAGGGGGAGTCATTTTTTTCTGAGTAAACATGGGTGAACGTTATTCTGAAGGGTAGTTGTACTTAAGCAAAGAAGGAAGATGCATTAAGTAAGGGGGAGTTGTACTTAATTTTTTGCTTCATCCATTGTTTTGTTATCATCAAAAAGGGGGAGATTGTTCATCTCAATCAGTATCTTTTGATGATTACAAAACAAATTGATGTTACTAATATTCCCTAAATAGATGTTTTCAGATTTAGAGCAAAACAGGCTAACATATGCTGAAGCTTGAGTCGAACGCACAAAAAGTCTGCATCGGTCGTTTGACAACCTTCGAGTAACTTTGGACGCATAAGGAACTTACTCTCAGACGTCCGAAAATAATAAGCCGAGTTTTCTAAACTCACTGATTTCGTTCAGACGCACAACACCTGGGTACCAGACGTCCGACAAACGTTGCAATACTTCAGACGCAAAGCATTGAAGCACTGGATGTCCTAAACATTTCAAGAAAAGTTCTTGAACTCACTGCCTGCGATCGGACATGAAAAACCAGCCTATCGGACGTCTGACACTACCAACAGCTAGCTGACTCTTCAGCTGCCTTCTATCCATTGACAGCATTAATTGAAATACTTTTTGGTCTCCTATAAGTAGAGCAAAGTCAACCACTTCAAACATACTTTGCACATTAAGACTACATCAGATCTTGAGTAATTCAGGTGTGAGAATACTTTAGAAAGAAGATTTGTACTCTTAGTTGTGAAATTTTCAATAAGCTTTTCAAGTGTGTTTCTATTTCTACAATAGTGTAGCTTTGTGAGGGTTATCCGAGTGATTGTAAAACTTTCTTACTTGACCGAGTGTGGCTTGGGTCTAGGAGGAAGTGATCCTTCCTTTGTACACAAAAAATTGATTGTAAGTTGATCAACTTGAAGAAACTTGCTATATAAAGTGGAATTCAAACTCGAGTGGAGTTTGAAACTTGGTTTACTATTCTATCCTTTTATTTACTGTCTTACAATATAAACTGTCTATCTCTTCTACTCCTAATCACTTGTGCTTCCTCATCAATTGCTCCATTGTGTGGTCATTTAGAAAAAGAGGGCAAGTTCTCAAAAAGTGACACATATCTTGGCCAGTTTTTAAACTACCTAATTCACCCCCCTCTAAGGTTGTCTTCGATCTTTACAAACATCGAGATAATTTTTCATACAACATATGTACATGAAAAAAATGCATTTTAAAAAAATAGAAATTAGTATATAAATTAAATCAATAGTGGAGTATTTGGATAGTTGCCCTTAGAATTGTTTTAAAAAAATTTTAGACCAAATATTTGATCAAATAACTATCCTTTGATAGATGGATGTAAAAAATACATTATATCATTGTAATACCAAAAAAATATTTTAGACCACCTATTTGATTAAAAAACTATCCTTTGATGGTTGATTTTTAGAAGCACCAAAAAGGGCAGAATTTCATGAAATTTATACCTAAATCTTATTTTCTTGAGAACCGTAATTCTAGCTTTTTGTTTGACCAAAAACACTTGACAACTAAGGAAACGAATCGTGAACAATGAAAAGACTGCAAAATTTGGTTTGTAGTTGAAGGGTTGGGGAAGGAAGATCTAGGATAAGGTAGAGTTTTCAATACAAATGACTTGCATGGGTTTGAACGTGATATGATTGGGCTAACTCATATTAAGTTATTAATGGTCCAAAATCAAGGAGTCTTATATAACTATGGTCTTAAATGGGAGTGAACCACTCAATTATCAATTTATGACCCACAAGGAAAAAAGATTTGCTTAAATTTTCTATCACATTTTGTTTAGCATCAATACAATGTATCATTGTAATACAAACATTAAAAAGATACCAAATTAGTAAATGAAATTTTACCTGAATAAAAAGAAAAATAAAAATAAATTGCATAGAGGAACCAAAAATGGTGATCGTAGCGAGTTTAACTGTTGTTACTTTTACAAGAATCTATAAATCATATAGGTATTAAGGTAGGGAACCAATTAGTACTCGAAGAATTCGTGAGACCTATACAAAAAGGAAGAAGGATAGCAAAAAATCAAAATAAAAGAATGAAAATTAGAAAAAGGAAAGGAATGCTAAACATGTTGCAGAATAAGAATATAGTTATTGGATTGGTAATGATTTAAATTTACCCACTTATATCTAACTTAATTAGGTCAAAATTGGTGACCCAAATCTACCCACTAGTTAATGGGTTTCATTGTTTCACTTATTTAAAACCGACTAAATTTGGTGCATACCCAAACTCAATTATTGATGGGTGAGTCAAAATAAATAGGTTACTATTTATAGATATGGATGAGTGGAAAGACTCATACCATAGAATTTGCAAGAATAGTGTGGGATGGGCTAATTAAGTAGGAAACGGGTAGGGTGAAGGAAGATAAGGCTTAGGTGGGAGGGAATGGTTGCTAGGAAGCTTGGTTTAAGTAGTTGAGCTAAAGATGGCAGAGAGTTAGGCAAGGGTCTTGAGTAGAGAAGAAGGGGGAAGGGGATTGCAGGCCTTACAAGATAGAGCAGTGGCTTGAGAAGATTGATTGTTTGAGGAGGAGGGAGGGTGATAATGTGTGTATCTGGTGAGCTTTTGGTATTTCTTGAAGTGTTTTATTTAGCTTTTTTTTTATGCTTTTAAGTAAGGTATTTAAATAAGAAATATATGGTTCGATATTTTGATATAAATCAAATACTAAAACAGATTTTTTTTAAATTTTAAACCACTTTTGCATTTAACTATTTTAAATAATAATAATAATTATTATTATTACTACTAGTATTATTATTATTATTGAGTTTCGTCCATTTATAAAGGAAACCTCTGCCAAAATTTTTCTAATAAAAAATACCTTTTGACAAAAAAAAAACTAGTATTATTACTATTAGAGTAAATCTTATATACACTGACAATATATATACTATCACAGTTAGATGCACGGCACATGTACAAAATTTAATTTTTAAATTCAAATTTAGATTATGAGTCATACATCCAATAGTAAAAATGTATACACTGTCAGTGTATAGAAGATTAATTCTTACTATTATTATTATTATTATTTAAAGTTGCATAGCACATCAAAATGCAAGTTTGTATCACGAGACATTGTCATGCATGGGCCAAAATACTAATTTGTATCATAAGGCATTGCCTTCACGGGTTAAACTGCAAATTTGTATCATGAAACGATGCCCATACTCATGGACTTATGTAAATTGAATATAAACATCTACTGTAATGAATCCAGACTACTATATATTGGATAATATATCCTAATTGATACTAATTCTGTAAGGTAATATGCTAATCGATGTCAATTGATACGAGAGAATATGTCCTAATTAATGCTAATGATACCAATAAATACATGAGAGAATATGCTATACATGAGAGAATATGAGAGAATATGCCAAGGTAATATGCTAATCGATGCCAATTGATACGAGAGAATATGTCCTAATTAATGCTAATAATACCAATAAATACATGAGATTTATTTATATTTACTTTTTGAGTGTACTGCTTGATTTATAAGTGGAAGCCTGGACTAGGTGTAGACAAGTAATTACCTTAATCACTAATTGTTCACCCTATTCCTTGATCAATAGAAATACTCGTGCAAATGCACGCGCAAATAAACACGCGGATCGAAGCTCTCGAATCTGGACCAAGCTTGGGTCGTGGGATAGTGCAGCATGCAGTTATCCAAAGAACTAAACAAAAGCTCTTGATACTTTATTCAAAATTCAGAGTTGGGTGAATTAAATACATTTCAACAATTTGCATTATGAGAAAATTCATGTGCTTGTGGACTTGTCTAAAATGAATCTAATCAACTAGTACATCTAATCTTCTCTAATAACTATGAGATAATATATCCTAATTCAAACTTACTTGACAAGGTAATATGGCAATCGATGTTCATTGATGCAAGACAATATAACCTAACTAGTGCTAATGAGATAACTTACCCAAACTTTTTCTAGTAAAAAAAATTTATTTGTATTAATAGATACAATAATCCTTTGTACCTTTTGAACTAGTCATTATCACTAAATTTATACCTTTTGTACCAAAAAAAGGAAATACTAGACTACAATTTGGTATACAATTGTTGGTTTATGGTTGGCTATACACGTTTCAAGAAAATTCATTGAGTTAATACAACAAAACAGACACATGGACCAAAATCAAAATTTTTTTAATGAAGAATTCTAATGTAAAAGCATTCATTTTGTATAAATGTACTTAGAACAAATCAATATGTAGAGTTCGAAGAATTTCCAAGATTATTTAATATCACTATATTCTATTATAGATGGATCATGCATTCATATTTCTATCCAATACAAGAATCAATCTTGTTACACTCATTAAAATTTAGAATCTGCAAGGTAGTCTCAACTATGTCACTAGCAGTTTGGATTTCTGGCGTTAATGAAGGTTCAAGTGGCTTTGGGTCATTCAACAAATCTTCACATTCTTGAGCTTGACCATAAGCTTCTGTGAGTGCTATGGCAAGTGTTGGATACGTTTCATGATTTAGCACTGAAAAATCTTGGTCCAATCTAAAGTTGACACTATCATATTTCTCTGAACATTCTTGGAGAGCACTTTTAAGAAGAGGATCTGTGGTGGTTCTTAGAAGACTTGAGATTTTTGATGTGGTCCTAGCAGCAATTGCTTTGGCCTCATCGTTGACTATGGTGCAAAAGCCGCTGGGACTAGTCTTCAAATCGCTTCGAGGATCGGCTGAGATCACATCAATACACTTGGCGTTGTGGGTTGTCTTTTTACACCACGTTTGGAAATCCTCGGCTGCAGTGCCTCGAGAGGTAAGAACGAGCAGGAGGAATGTTACTATCGAAAGCACGAGAGTCAGGCCAACTCTAATGGTAGCCATAATCTCCTAAAGTTGTTTTAATCTTCCGCTGAGTAATGACTTTGAAATTTTTAAGATGAGGACTGGAAAAGGCTGAAGGCCTTTTAATATAGAAAATAAGCGAAGACAATGGGAATTCAATACGGCAAAAAGTGATAGAGAATAAGCCAAGACGGAGACGGAGTTTTCTATCAGTTTACGGAAAAAAAGGAAGTTCTTATAGACTCATAATGTGGTAAGGTATTCAAACCGCATTGAATTATATGCTTACCATATTAAAGCTATCAAATAGCAGTATTTCCTAAAGTTGGCTAATTAAAAAAAAAACTAACATACCACCCAAAATTAAAAACTTTCCAAACTTATGAATAAGTATAATTTGAAAAAGATAGAAATGACCATAACTAAAAGTAAATAACAATATTCTGAACTATTATTTTGGAAACAATAAAAATAAAGATGGGTGGAAAAAGTCGTAACAAAGAATTTGTAAGAATGATGCGGGATTGGCCAATTGGGTTGAAAACAGGTAGGGTGAAGAAAGGTATTATTAACCTCTTTTGCATAAAACTATTTTTAAAAATTATTATAATTATTATTTAATGTATAAATCCGTGCATAGTATGAATAATAATGCCAGTCTGTATCATGACACAATGCCTTGCATGGGCCAAAATGCTAGCTTTTATGATGAGGCAATGCCTTGCACGTATTAAAATGCTAGTTTGTATCACGATGAGACAATGCCCATTCTTATGTAAAATGAATTTAAACATCTAGTACAATGAATTTAGACTGTTGAAGAAACAAGCACAACAAAAATAGGTAATATCTTCAAGATAATATATCTAATTGATACTAATTCTACATGGTAATATGCTAATCGATGTCAATTAATACAAGAGATTACATCCAAATTAGTGTTAATGGTACTATTAAATACATGAGATTTATTTACATTAATAGATACAAAAAAGTCCTTTCTACCTTTTGAGCACACCGCATAATTATAAGTGAAGACAAAGAGAATTTAATATATGGTAACATGTGGTAGAAAATATGGCAAGACGGAGTTACATATGAGATTACAAAAGAACCAAAAAAAAAAAAAACATCGTATAGACTTATAATTTGGCAAGGCATTCAACTGCAGTCAATATCTTGACAAATTGGGAATTTATACTAGTGATCCCAAATAAGAAAATACTCAACAATGTAAGATACCATCTAGCTAATGGGTGCCCAATGGGCTCTCGTTAATATGGATAAAATTACCATAATTGATGAATTTTAGCATTTAAGTGGTAATGTCATTAGTTCTGGAGAACTTTTGGCGAGGTAAGAATTTTGCACATGATGAAAATGACCATTTCAAATAATCCAATAAAGATAGGTGAAAATTGGACTATTTGTGCTACAATTTAATCTCGCACGGGCCAGTTCGGCACGAGGGAGCCAGCTCGGCCGTGTCAGTTGGCTCCTGTGGTGGGCCTGGTGGGCCGCCGCCTCCGAACATTTAGGGGCCGTCGCGTAAAACCCTTAGAAGACTCCGAACCCTAAGGGGACTTTGACTCCCATAAGGAAACTACAACCCATCCAATCCTATATATACTACGCCCCAAGGCTACACAAGGTACACATACATAAGCATTCTATACTGCTACTCTACTCACAAGCTCTACTGACTTGACCGTCGGAGCTATTCCGGGGACTCTAGTCCCGCTTTCGTTCTTTCTTTACAGGACCATCAGCTCGGTTCCCCCTCTTAGGTCGGTTGCCCCTACCCAGCTTGGCTCGAGGTAGCTCAGCTCGGACTACGTTTTTGGCTGTCGCATCAATTGGCGCCGTCTGTAGGAAACGTAATTCTTCTTTTGCGAATCATGCCAAGGACGAGGTCTCAGGGGAACGCTGGTGGATCTAAGGGGAACGGGGGAAGCGGTCCCCAAAACCCCACACAGGGTCCAACTCCTGGAGAAGAGGGCGCGGGGCTCTCGCGAATCCCACCCGAGCAACTTGTGAGAACCCGTATTGCCCCAATATTTTTCCTAGGGTTTATTTCCCCTTAATTGCATGTTTTCTGCATTTTCTGGCTTAGGAATATTTTTCTGGTAGATTTTATGCGTAATTATAGTTTTTAGTTGATTTTTTCTAGCATTGGTGAGTTTTAGAAAATTAAGAATGTATTTTGGACGTGGGACCCACTAGTGCGAAAAGTTCGGAAAAATTCGACCAATTAGGTTAAATTCCGGATACTGTGTAAAATTTATCGGGTGTTAATAGATAAGTAGAGGAGTGTGAAGTGATTGATGTGAGAGGTCACTAAAGGATTGAATTGCATTTAATGAGATGCCATGTGTCATTTTTCCATTGGTTAGGACTTAAGACTACTATTCATGGTTTTGACCTTTTGACTTATGGAGTAAATATCTTCAAAAAATTCAAAAAAAATTACCATTTTTCACTCTATGTTGGCCGACTCTTGAGAGCTCAAGAAGGAAGAAAATTGCTTCAAATTTCAAGCTCCCAACTAGCTCAATCTTCCAAACTATTTGCCTAAATTAGTTTTTACTCCATAAAATCCTTCCACTTGGTGTTAGTGAGTGTTTTGGTGAAGCTTTTTGGAGAACTTAAGGTGTCCAACATCTTCCTCTCTCTTGTTTACTTGGTAAGTGATGATTGAACATTCTCTTATAGCTAATGATGTTGAATTTATGCCTAATGGTGGCTATTGTGTTAGAAATTGTGGATTATTTCTTGGTTTGAAGTGATTTGGTTGAGTTTTTTATTTTTTGAGGAATTTTCTGGTTTCATATGATCTTGATGGTGTGGTTATTTTTGATGGTTGGTAATAAGGGGCTTTGGCTCTAGTAGGTGCATATGATAGAAAATTGCAATCAATTTTGGATTTGGAAGAATTTCTGGAAAATTAGGGTTCTTGGTTGAACATTCTGTCCGAAATTTTAGGTCATAGATAGAGGCCGAATTTGACTTTGCTCAAAACATGAAAGTTGTAGGTATTGATGAGTTTGAGGTGCCTGCAAAATTTCAGGTCATTTGGATTAATGTAGAATGAGTTATGACGAAATTACTATAGCTGTTCTGCTTTGGCCAGAATGCGAAAACTGAGTTTGTATTTGGCTATTTTGACTGGAATTGGTTTGGATTTTGAAGTTGGTGTCTTCTGATGAAATGTAGCTGGATGTCTTAGCTAACATTTGCCTTTGGAATTGCGGCATTTGGACCTGTATATACTGAGTTGTGTTCATTACAGCATAGTGCGATTTGGGAACCTGCAATTACGGTTCTGGATTTGGTATTCTGCATTTTTGACCTAATTATGCTAGGATTTGGACTGCGTGGCCTTCTACAATGTTGTAGCCCTGTTTCTTAGCTTCGAAACGGTGGGTCTTACACCCCCATCCGATAACCGTAGTGAATTTGACGCCATTACCGTATTTTAAGGTCAAATACGGTTTCTTTGTTAAGGCTTAAACTAAAGGCATTTCCTAGTTTCTGGTTGCCTATGATGCTTATATATGTTTATAAAACCCTATTGGGGTTGTGATTGGCATTGTTTTATGGCTCGGTATCGAGTCTCATAGTACTTGCTTACGTGTTCTAGGGCGTGACGGTGGTTCACGACTTTCCCCTGACGGAAGTGCATGACATAGCACTTAATTGCTTTGTGAGTATACTACTCACTTAATTGTTACAATGTGGCTTTGTTATATATGAATTTGACGCCGTGAAGGCTTACTTGGCTATTGGAATTGATAGAGGTGAGGGTGTACTTGATCGCCCTCACCCCCTTGTGATTTCATTCATGACTGTCTACTGTTATACTGAAATACTGCACTGGCTATATGAGTTATTGAATTGCAATCTTGGAAAACTGATTTGGTGTTGTTTGGACGATGTCCAACGACCTCACTGTATTGCTGAGCTCAACCTCGTTTGGTAGTCATTTGGATCGAGCCGGCAAGGGCTTGGTCGTGATAAGTGACATACCACGGGGACTGCACTGAGGAACCTTGTAGTAATGAGACTCTCGGTTCCGGTATACTCGAGTATTACCAAAAGCTACTGAATTGGAGTGCGGGCCCGGTTGGGGTATGTTTGGTGGAAGGAATGGAGTGAAGTGAAATCTACGGTCGGGTATTCTTAAACATTGACGGAGGGTCAATGAGATTGGATCAAGAATGTAAGCGTGGAAATGGGCTCTTGAGAGCCATCCGTATCCTTTTATTGACTTGTTTACTTCTTAAGTGTGTACTTGAAACGAAAGATTAAGCTTATGTGATCTTTGTTGCTTATGTGTTAGTAACTCACTGGGCTTTAGCTCATTCCGTTCCATTTGTTTTCCTTACAGGGATATAAGTACTTTTGGGACTGAATTGGATAGTCGATTGCCAAGTTGAGCTAGTGTAAATGGCTTTTGTTTAGCTTGTTGAATGAAACCCTATTGTGTATTGGGGTCATTTTCTTTGATTGGCAAACCGAGTATGTATATTCATGATAAATGGTTTTGGCATGCCACTATGGTTGTAAAAGTTAAATTTCAATGTATATATATGCTTGGTTGATGTTTGGACGGATTTCGGATCACTGCGTTTTCAAACGGAAAAGGAAAAAAAAATTGGCGGGAATGAACAGGACCGAATCCGGCCAGAAACTGGCCGGATTGCCGGCCGGATTGCTTGGTGTTTTGAAAAATTTTGGACTGCTCTCTGGCCAGTATCCGGCCAGGAATCCGGCCGGATATCCGGCCAGATTCCGGCCGGATTCTGACGTGTCTTCTACTGTTCATTGCGGCTTCGATTTTCATTTTTTTTTATTTTCATGATTTTGACTTGTTTACGCGCAATGGGATGTTCCGGAACGTAATAGATCGACGTAACTGAACCGTTAGTCCTGGCGAGAGCTGGGCAGGCAGTCCGCTAACCCCTTTGGTTCGCCTTAGGGGAAAGTGGGGCTGTTACAAGTGGTATCAGAGCCACGTCGCGTGGTCTCTGCGCGGAGTG